CAGTGTTGGGCAATAGCGCGCTATTCCGCTAGTCCGCTAATAGCGAATAGCGGAATAGCGGAATAGCGATATCGGAAGTTCGAGTGAATAGCGGAATAGCGATAGCGGGAACGGCGCTATCGCTGTTCGATAGCGGGCAACTTCCGCTATATTCCGCTATCTTCCGCTATCAGTTTATTTACAAGTGAATGTATAGTCACTGAGATGCGTAATCATTAAGATATCTAAATTGCGATGTCTAAGTACATATTTGTGCTGCAACACTCCACTGAATTCGATCTACTGAGCTCCTGCGGGCGATTCGAAGTTGAACATTCAATCGTAGTTCGCATATTTTCTTTTAATGCTCCCCTATCATCTCGTTTCAACTCATAACATTATGTGACTCTTATTGATTTCAGTGGTGCTGCGAGGAATTTTTCTTCGTTTTCATTTTTTCATCCAAGCTTTTTTCCGTTTTCTTTTTAGATCGTGTTGATCGTTATGGAACCAGTTGGGCGTTGTCACGCATGCCAATCGAGGTAGAGATCCAAATGAGTGGATTGCTTTCCGATGATAATTGCACTTTCTGATCTTTCTCCCAACGCTTTTGCTGTTGTGTTTCTGGGGATGACGACGGTGATATGTCGTTTTTACAGCAAGATGATGAAAAGCGATAATGACGTGCAAGGAGTCAATGTGGAGTCAACACCTGGCCCTTGGAAAAGTTTGACTGAGTATGTGATTTTCAAGAGGGAGGAAAAGGACAAATATGTAGTAGAGTGCAAGGAGTGTGTGCCAAAAAAACATGAAATAAGTTGTCATAAAAGCAGCATGTTCAATGTGAAAAATCATTTTCAAAAGAAGCATCCCACGAAATATGCTAAAATAGTCGATAAAATAGTCGATGTGACTATTCACCTGTTCGATTACAACGGCTTCACGAATAATCTGATAGATGCGCTCTTGGCTTGGTTTATTTCTCAAATGACTGAACATGAGACACGCAAAATCACGATGAAGACCCTGAAAAGCATAGGATACATGATGTGTCTCCGACATAAAAACAATATGAGAAGTATCCAAAAAATGAAACATATTTCGTTTGGTTCCACCACCCAATCTACATGAAATCACCATTAAAAGACAACTGCAAAACAAATAAAAGAACGAACATAAAAATATGAATGTTTACCTCATCTCTTGAAATCAACTCGTTGCTTTGCGTCAATCCTTGCATCAAACCACGTTTCTTCAACCAGAAAATAGCTGCAAAACTGCCCGAAAAGAATATTCCTGAAAATTTCATCAATAAAATAAAACAGCTGCGATATTCTGCTATATGTCCACTTTTTCAAATGGAATGAATGAAGTTTGACTAAAATTCAAAACCGATGTAAAACAGTCACAAACCTTCAACTGCTGCAAATGCGATCACTCGTTCCGCATAAGGTGCCTCTGTATCGGCAATCCACCTCAACGCCCAATCAGCCTTCTTTTTGATGAACTCAAACTCATGGATTGCGTTGAACAGTATCTTCCTGTATACGTCAACTGTTAGAACCATTCAGTTAACAATACACTGATTCCAAGGAATGATTACGAAAAAATTTTAAGATAGGTAAACCATCTAAATCATTTAGAACGACAATTTTGAACATTCCACAACTTTAATATACCTTATTCTAAGAAACCTTTTGGACAACCCCTAATGAGTTAATACAAATCTGACAGATTCAAAACTTATGACACACGCAGCTAACATAATTTCACAAAACACAAATAATTTGATTACTCCAATACAAATGAAGTGCATACAATCAAAACACGATTNGCATGCAATAAGAACACGGAAAGGTATGCGATCGTTTACTGATGCCTACCTTTCAGCATCATCTCTAATGTACGTCTCAATCATCTTCGCATACATCTCCGAGTGAATATTCTCCATCATCACTTGGAATCCATAGAAGAAACGAGCCTCAGGAACTTGAACTTCTTGAGCGAAACGATCCACCTGCAAGGAAAATTTTTGAACAAATCGATGCGCGATGAAATATTTTATTGTTTGAACAAAACGATACAAATTCAGTAAATGCGATCGAAATAGACTTTCATTTGCTGATAATCCAACAGAATCGAAATGATAACGATAGCAATAATGGAAGTGATAATAATAATAACAATAATAACGATGATTATAATAACAACAGCAATAACGATAAACCATGAAGAAAACTGCAATGATAAAGAACCAGAATACGAACTCACCAAATTCTCATTCACGATTCCATCAGAAGCGGCAAAGAAGGCCAACACTCGCGAAATGAAGAATCGTTCATCATCATTCAACCTCTGCCAGTCCAGATAATCCTTACTCAAGTCCACCTATAACGAAATATTTTGTGATGAATTTCAGGTTTTCTCTGTTCAATAAAAATAAAAGCATTCAATTTCAAGCGAAATTCATTCCAAATTCAATCAGTTAACATTGATAAGCAAACCTCCTCAACAGTCCAGAAGGAAGCAACGGCACGCTTATAGAAATCCCAAATATCATGGTAATTGATTGGGAATATCACAAAACGATTCGGATTATCACGGAGCAGTGGTTCTTCTTCTTTCTCGTTATGAGTCTTCTCGATGACTGCTTTCAGAGGCTGAAACACGAAGAGGTAGTTGAACTGATGTTCCGAGCTGATCAGGAAACAATATTCGATGGTTTAAGTTTATCATTTGAGGTAAGAATTACCAACTGCTTACTACATCCGGACACTTTTAATAAGGGCACTACCTCCGGGCAACTCAGAAAAGGATACCTTAAAGGTGACTGCTTCGGAAGTGAATTTTCTAAATCTCTCTACCTCTAGAGACTCAACTGCTTACGTTTGTTCCTATAAAGACTATAAACAGTGAAAATATTCTTAGTGTGGTGGAGAGCTTTAGATAACAATAATATTGGGGTTTCACAGAGCACTGAATTGATAGTAGCTCGGCGTCTAGTGGCTTTCGTTGTTTTGCGATCCACCACACTTGAAATATTTATTGGAGAATCGAGTCGACGTATGGAGACAATTGATTGAGGTGACGACAATAGATTTGGGTTTGGGGATGGAGAACGACACGCTGGATTTTAACAACAATAACAACA